GCACGGTACATGTAACGATCAAAACGCATTCGATGAGCTACGCGTGGAAAGCAATCCCAAATGACTAAAAACATAAAGTAGATCTATGGTCTAGGGTGCTATCTACAAGACATCAATATCATACAAATACCGACATCAATTGTTTACGCTCACGTTTGAAAAATGACGCCGGATTAGTGCTCATTCAATGAACGCACAATATACGTTAGGGTCGCTAATCATCCGAGATACAATGGGTAAACAGGCGCGATCTGGGCAGTGTATGGTCACATGTTTCGAGGGCTTGGCGCGCCGCCAACCTGTGTGTGTACGAGCGCGGATCGGGTTCACAATGAAGATCACTCCATGGACTCGGGAGCAGCGACACTGCGCCAGTGAACACACACGAGAAAACACTGGGAAGGGGGCACGCACACAGAGTACATGCTGTAATCACTTGTGTACTACACGCGTTCTGTAGTATGCACTTGACAATTTGTAAAGAAATTTACACGGGTACAAATCGTGTGGTACTTTGGTGTTAACGTTTTATTGACAATTCTATCGGGAAAGAGTTGCTTCAACATGCATGGTCAGCGCTTGAGCAGTGGATTTGGATCGGGAGTGTTTTATAGATATTGAAGCCCTGTTACACTGCCTTTGGTAAATAGGCTTATCTCCCCCTCCCCCACATAGCTTTGAGAAGCCACACGAGCCTTAACAGTGATCACCAGAGGTTGGCTCAGCAAGCCTACCGATCGTTTCTATTGGTTGTTCAGCGGTTATGAGAAATGGTGGTACGTCTGTCCATGGCAGTGACACTACTCTGCATTTCGAAGGTATGGGTCGATGCGTGCAGCCCTATTCATCAGCCTAATCAGAAACGCTTGCATAGTAGCTAGGTCCGACTCAGAGATGGCTTATCATCCGCGTACCCTAAGTTGAACAACCGTTCAACTAAAAATAGCTCAGTTCCAGTGGTAGCTTACAGAATGTGAAATAGGACAGCCGTGAATGACCCTCGATTAATGTGACTACTTTAAGAGGCGCTCCGCTGCAGACCTATGCACGGCTCTTGGTGTAGCAAAATCAGTTTTAAGATAGAAACGTTTATTTAGTACGTCACTCAAGTGTGGACATCGTTGCAAACATGTTCTATGTAACATGTTATATCAGCCTTCAAACCGCAGAAGTCCTATAGCTTTTCTCAGTCAATTGCATCCAAATCGCTTTCAAATTCTTTCTTAAGAAAATCATGTTCCGTCATAGACATACTACAATGGTCCTTAATGCTATCAAATTGCATCCAACAAACGCAAACGCCCCTGTATGCTACTTTTCATTGAGTGACCAATCCCAAATGAGACAATAGCATCTGTTATCCTATCGACTGGTCTGGGATTGTATGTATATTTTATGGGCCTCTGCGCCCGTTGGATGCAATTTGATATTTCAACACCACCTCCAATGATCTATGGAGGAACAGGATTTCCTTAAGGTATTTGAAAGTGCTATGGATGCAATTGTCTAAGGAACGGTACAGTCAAGTCAAAGAAAACAAACTGCTAAGACATCTTTATTGCTCGCCGTGCAACACTATGCACTATTTTCCCCAAAGTAGTCCTCTCTACTGGGAGTATACAGTTCTCAACAGTGTTTCCATTTTTGGAAGGTCTGGTACGTACTTTCTCAGTTGGCGAGCATTGTCCTGAATAGTTCTTTTAGAATCGACATCCTTTCATCATTGTTTTAAGTTTGGGAAACAGGATAAGCCTGCTAGGGCTAGATCCGGAGAATACGATGCAAGTTTGATGTTTTGCTGTATAGCTGCGGACTAGGAATGATGCTTGAGTCGGCGCGTTGTTGGGATGCAACCTTCACGCTTGCTTTTCCCACAGTTCCGGCCTCTTCCTTACACACAGCATTCATCGAATGCGCTAGAATTCCCTGGTAGGCTTCCTTATTTACCGTCTGACCATGTGGCACAGATTCCTGAAGGACACTGTTTTTCAGTCAAAGAACAACCAACGTCACTGTCTCTGGCCGACTCCTGCATGTTTTTTGTGGACGAGATCCCTTCTCCATCCGCTGCGACGACTACACTTTCTTTTCAATCGCATAACCGTAAACCCATACCTCATCGCCTGTTATCATGTTTCAAAGAAAGTTTTCATTGTCGTTGGCAGTGGTAAGCATTTCCTGGCCGCTTTTAACGCGGTTCTGTTTCTGATCGTCAGTCAGCGAACGTGGTACTATGCGTCTCAAGTTTGTCACCAAAAACTTCTTGGGATGATCGTACGCTGATGCCCACTTCGTCAGCAACTTCTCAAACGGTTAGACGACGATTTCTATGGATCACAGCATGAATTCTGTAGACATAGTTATCATTGTTGGTGTGGAAGGTCTAAGCTTGGGATTCTCACCGACCTACATTTTTTGGGGTTCAAAATGCGTGAACCACTTATAGCACTACAGCACTACATTTGACTCAAACAGTCCTCCAACTATGTTAGACTCATCATTTAAAATGTCTTTGTAAACATTTCGCTGTTTGTAGCAAAATTCCACACGCATGATTTCCTTCATGCTCTTTTATTGTCACTTGGACGCTAATCCGACGAGCGGCTTGTGTAGCTGTTTACTTTAATGGCTGTAGGTCGCCAACTAACGGTCAGAGCGAGACCCGGCAAATAGCAATGTCTTGTCTAAACGCCTCTACGTGCGCTCAGTAGTCCCAGCAAACGACCTCTATCGGCTAGGTCCCTATTCTAGAAGTTCGCTTCCTTTTTGAACACAGTAGTAACCTTTATCTACCCTAGTGGGTATATTTTCAACCTTGTACCACAGCTACTGTGCATGGACTAAAATAGCTCAATTAAAATACAAAATTGTCTAAATGGTGAAAATAGCACTGTGTACACGGGTTTCACTCGGATAAACGATCCTTACCGTTATGTTGCCGTTGCTGAAGTGAATCATTGGTATTTGCATCTTGTTGACAGTTCAGTAGTTTGTCGATTGGGGCGGTAATTCCTCAAGTTACAAACAAAGCACTTTTGACAGTTTTTTCGAATACGTTCATAACCTTATAATTATCCAAACTGAAGACAGTGTCGAATATTCAGTGAAAACTGATGAATTCGTACCGGACAGAGTAAATACAATGCCTCAGTGAGAAAAAAACGGTTGTTTTGAAGACCGCACCGATGATTACCTTATTAGTCTCTTTTTATATGTGACGGCTTACATATATGGTGAATCGCGAGCAGCTGATTATCTCGGTCAATACCAGAATTAAAACCAACGTGACTTTCACTTGACTTCTGGATCATTGAAGCATAGTATACCAAGGGTTTGAAAACACACGATAAGACTGGTATCAAGATGCTTGGAAAAGGATGTTATTTAGCCCTTTTCAGAGGAAATAATGACATCTGACAGTCACCTTAGAAGCTACTTTTCTGCACCAACACAACTTCTTACTTAGTCACTTCCTTCACTCAGAAATGTTAGAAGCGATCACGTACTGTATCACACACTGTGCCACAATCACATCATAGTCGGCGGGTGGCAGGCACACAGGGTAAAGCTGATCTTGTTCATTCACTTGATCTCATTTATGCCAAAGTATCCTTGGTGTAATGGTTCAGGCTTTCGACATGTGCATCGAGTTCGCGTCCCCGTTCCAGCATTGGTTTAAACACGCTGGCATTATCTCGATCCGCGTACAACCGCTTGTGATTGCACAGCAACGATGCATTATTGTAAAGTACTGGTGTACCACATATCCGTTATGGTCATTTTGGCTTTCGAGTGTGACAATCAGAAGGTTGCGACTTTCGTCAATTTGGTCGCAGGCTATACATTAATGCGAACCCCAGCGGAGGGACATTGTTTTCCATGTAACGTTAGCACATAAGTCAACGCTCTGCGGCGATCAGATGCTATTTGGAAGCACAATACAAACCCCTTACGTGCCCACTATACATGCACTTTTCGCCCCCTAAATCGATCACTAGCGCTGTTCTAGCTGTTTCCTTCCTCTTTTCCATAATCGACTCGAGGCAATAAATACCACTTTCTTCCTGTTAACCCCTTTTTGGATCACGGGTGCTCATTTGATCACGTCTCAACAGAATTCCTGAGACCTATTTGCTAGGCCGCGTTTCTTTTAGACTTTCTGAGGAAACAGAAATCAACATGACATCTACTATGTAGGGCACTTCTGTTAGTATAAATCGAATAGTCAATAATATATGTGCACGGCGCAATTGTCATCGGACTGAACAATTCATTTTTATCGTAGGATTGCGATGGTAGGCACTTCGTTTGGATCTTCGAATGCCCAACATCAAGAAATTGCTTACTCTTGTCTACCGGTGCATGTGGGGCGTTGACTGGTTGGATGGTGCCATCGAGTATGTGGTATCGATGTCTGCCAGTCGATGCCCTATTAAGTATTCGTGTTGACAGAGTACACTGACGACGCCATGTTTATCGCATGCTCTCTAATAATTCATTTCGGTATACATCCACTGCTACGTCACGTGCTTAGATGGTACACCAGTGTCCGACTGATAACATCAAATGGGTTATGAGAAATTAACCGAAAACCCACCGACCTCCGATGAAGGGCACCCCACCATAATTGCTGCAGTTGAGACATCGGTGATCGTTCTTTACTTTCAACTACTAATCGGTCCATCTTACTATCTTGGTCTTCCCACTTTGTCTCTTTACTATTGCTATTATTGTCATCTGTTTGTTATTGTAATCTTTCTGAATTGTTATTGTCTGAGTCTAGATCATGGCGTCCGTCACACTTTAATGCTTAGATCTTGCTTGCTTCTATGAACTAAACTGGTCTGATACAAGCCACTCGAAAGCAGGCGTTGCATACTGCTAGAGCGCACTGGTTAGTCCGCTTGTGTTTTTCCATTCAGATTGCTTATTATAGACTAGGAAAATTCCATTTAATGCCTTCTTCATAGCCTGTCTTGTCTGTTTTCTCTCTCCCATCAGCTGGCTTGTTGCAAATGCACTCCAGTACTCCCCGGTACGCATCCTATCAAGCACGTTTGCGATCCTTCCCTCCATCTTCATGCCGCATTCGTCAGAACGGTTCCTCCTTACTACTACAAAGAACCGTGTCTCCTCATCCTTCTCCGAGTGAGCTTGCGTCTGCTGGATTCTTCCATACTGGCTCCGCTGACGAGACGGTCTGTCCGGCCTGTGGTTTGGGCCTGAGAGATTGGCAGGCCAGTGATCAACCGGAGGCTTGCCATTTGGCGTTTTCGGCCGCCGGAGTCAGCATCGGTTCTTCCAGAGACTGTCGCTACAGGGCTACGACTCCCGTCCTACCTTGCCTTTATTTATCAGTGCATCGGCTCTTGGCATCTGAACTTCCATTGGCCAGAAAGTCCCTCGTTCCTGCAGGTCCCGTTCAAACTGTCAGTACTCTTCCAGGTGTGATCACTCCTCCGATTGGAACCATAATGAGGGAGGAGTCAATGAACCCATCTACTGGATTCGCTTCCCTGGCTGATCGGTTGAACGCCATCGTTCGGATCATGTCATCTCCACCGGCGCCGCAAGGATGGCCGATCGAAAACGCTCGATCGCTTGGCCACTCAGATGACCTGATCGTTCTCGCTCTCTGGCGTCTGCAATCAGAATCAACCGGTACAGGCTTAGCATGTCCACCAATGAAGGCACTTCGTCTTGATCCCCAGGGAACTACGGATCTCCTACGCGCGATCCTGCGTTTACAAGAGGGTTTCGATACTCCAATCGGGGATCTTCCCGAATTTTTTGACTTGGGTAGCCCAAGTGAGGATAGTGCTTTGAGTGGGGCCAACAGCGATGCAGATATTGCCGCTGAGGATGCAGAGACAGCGGCTCTTTCTCGATGCAGATACCAGCGCATCCGCAATAACACCACCACCGCATTCACGGACGATAGTTCGACTTCCTCACCGGCTTCAGTCGATTCCAATGGGATACCAGTCAAGCGGATTCTTCTGCCACAATTGTACCAGTTCACCAAATGGTGGTCTAGTCGGTGGCCCCCCGTTAAGATTGTGGGGTAAAAGTACATACAAGCATCACCATTTCTCTCTCCCTACTTTTATTGAAGTGTACTCCTTGTGCTTATCTTCCCCAATGTTTTGTTTCCCGGAAATCCTTTCGCCTTAAAGCAGTTTTACTACCAGTTTCTTACAGCCTGGTGAACAATTGTGTTAGTAGCTTCCCTCGATCTTCATCTTTGTTCTTTCTCATGGACTTCGTGAAAATATCATTCGAACTGTTGTTGCTCAGTAATATCACTCTAATATACGATTAGACTTGGCTGTTTACTTGGAGTTTACAATACATTTGATTTTTCTTGATTTATTGGCATTTGTGTCTACCTTCTTGGGGCATATATAGCGATAACAGTGGTGTTGACGACTTCGTATGATTACTTGCAGTGTGTCCGAGCTGAAGCTGATGACGTATTTTCCCGTTGTGTAAGTGAGCCTAGACATCCTTTAGCATTAGTCATCCGATATTTGACCACGTGGACTGCGCGTTTGATCTTGCGGTTGCGCTGGGTGCATTGCAGTTTGTAGTGCTCTCTGGTTCGAGTATTTTGAGTAGTGACTTGAGCGATGAGTCAAAGATCTTGAAGTGTTCGTCCCTCGCCTGAATGGACGCTTGATTCCCAGTCAAAACCCGAAGTCGCTGACCCCCTACAGGACAAAGAGAAGGCCGGATCGGATGAGCAGAGCAACAGGGATGTATTAGCGAATCACACCGTTCATCACAAAGGGGTAGTGGAAAGTTTGTGTATGGTATTTAAAGCGCACGTGGAAAGTTCTGGAAAGGTCAACTTACAACAAATCAAGGAACCTTGCCCTCGCGTTAATTGGCCGCTTCGCCCGGTTGGCTCTCTGTTCGCTCCAAACAGAACGGGTGAGTTTGGATCGCCTGCCGCGGCGATGGGATTCTGGTTTGTTCGCATCGCGTATTCCTTCCTACCACTTCCCCGTTTTGAGTTGTGTTGTACGATTTCAGCTTGGGGTTGACTTGCATGGGTGACACAAATTTGCGTCGCCGCTTCGGCCCCTGTGCTGCCAGCTTTCGGGGCGAATGTTGGGGTTGCTGTGTTGGGGCATGTTGGGGAGTCTTCGCTTCACCCTCGTCGGCCAGTATGTCCATAGATAACTGCGCTGCTGGTACTTGTTGTTGCAGTTGTTCGCCAGTCCATGCCTCTAGCAGCTGATTGGCATGTCTTACCCAAATTGCCGTCCCAACCTGGATACCGTAAATCACGTTACCACTTTTGTATAGCACAGCCCATAGTCCATTTAGGATAGTGAATGCGATACTCTCTCGCCAGAACTTGTTGACCAACATTAAAGGCTCGCTTCCGAGCACCGTGTCGGATGTTGAGTCGACGCTCCAACTGATAGTTGCGGGACAGTAACTGATCCTTCCTGGGTCTGAGGGCATCATGCGGCCCACGGATTTTCCTTTGAAACAAAGTTTCAGCCGGAGATAGTGCGTTCGGTGTCTGGGGATTTGGAGTTGTGCGATACGTCAGAAGAAATGTGTCGAGAATCTCCTCCAAGGTATCTTCCCCTTTCAATTTTAGCAAGGCTCTTTTGAGTGTATCCACAAAGTGTTCCGCTTGCCCGTTCGATTGTGGGTGGAAAGGTGGAGACTTTACATGGACGATCGCATTTCTGCGACAGGAGACAAGAAATTCAGAAGAGGTGAATTATGTACCATTGTCCGAAACCAACGTGTAGGGAACACCGAAACGAGAAAATACCTGTCGGAGAGCGGAGACACTGGCTGCTGTGGTGGTTCTCACCATTGAAATCACCTCTGGCCATTTACTGTGAGCATCGACAACGATGAGAAAATGATGACCGTCAATTGGACCTGAAAAGTCGACGTGTACCCTTAACCATGCCTCCGTTGGTATTGGCCAGGATTGCAATTCCGTCTTCCTTGGCTGTTTAGATACACTAGCACATCGGGGATAAATCTGCGTTAAATTCTCGATCTGGGAATCCATGTAGGACCAATACACAGCTTCGTACCAGCGATTTCATGTGATTCATTTCTGGGTGACAAGTATGAAACTGTCGGAGGACTCTCTCTTGAAGCATGAGAGGAATGACGACACGATCTGAGAACAGCTGACAATTGCTGACGACTGATAGTGCTTCCTTTCGTTGGTGGAATTGTTGAAGCTCCGGCGTTGTAACTCTCTTAGGCCAGCCATTGAGGTGGAAATCGATCACTGGTTGTAGGGTAGAATCATGATGGGTCGTTTCCTGCACCATTTCGAACGTTACTGGTAAGGCACCGAAAATGTCAGACACAACTTGATGCACTTGGGGTTCTACGGAGATTTGAGCAATTACCAAATCCTCTGGTTCTTGATGCTGTGTACCAATTAAACGAGATAACGCATCCGTTTGACCAATGTTGTGTGTAGATTGATATTTGACGACGAAATCGTATCCAAGTAGAACCGTTGCCCAGCGTTGGAGACGACTGGCCGTGCAGACTGGAATGCCTTTCTTTGATCCAAAGATTGCGACCAAGGGTTTTTGGTCAGTGAACAGCGTGAATTTTCGTCCATAGAGCATTTTGTGAAATCGCTTGACTGCAAACACTATAGCCAAAGCTTCTTTCTCGATCTGCCCATGGTTGCGTTCCGCTGGGGTGAGTGATCTGGCTGCATGTGCCACAGCTTTCTCCGAACCATTGGGGAAGATGTGGGATATGACTGCTCCAATTCCGTAGTCTGACGCGTCAGCAGCAACTATGATCTCCAGCTCCGGATTGAAATGCGTTAGCAATAGGTCAGAACACAATATAGACTTGACATTATCAAATGCGGCTTGACACGCCAATTTGCGATCCTTTACCAGAAGTTCATTGAGCGGTCCTCGTAGCCGATGCATTTCGGGCACAAAAGAGCTGTAATGACTGAACAACCCCAAGAATGATCTGAGCTTCGCCACATTGTCAGGGGGAGGCATCTGTTTTATGGCACTTATGTTGGAAGGATCCGGACGACGGCCATCCTTGTCGATAATGAGGCCAAGATAGTTTACACACTTCATGTCGGTATTGCAGTTTTCTGCTTTCAAGTGAAAACCGTAGTCGTTAACGCGATTGAGAACTGCTTCCAGTCTTTCCGTCAGCTCTCGAAAGGTAGACCGTTTGATTATGATGAAGTCCAAGTAATCTGCGACTCCTGATAACCCAGATAACGTATCCATAATTTGTTGAAAAATCGCGGGAGCTGATTTGACGCCAAACGGCAAACGGTTGAACTGGTAAAGACCTCGGTGCGTATTGTTTGCCAGCAACTCCTTTGAAGCATCGCCGACTTCAATTTGAAGATAAGCATCTGATAAATCTAGCTTTACAAATTAAGCGCCACCACTGAGCTTAGCAAATAAATCTTCTGGGACTGGCAAAGGATACTGGTGCATTTTCAAAGCAGCATTCAATCCCGTAGAGTAGTCAGCACAGATACGAACGGTTCCATTGGTCCTCTTGACGACAACAATAGGTGCTGCCGACTCTGAATAGTCCACAGGTTGGATGACGCCAGCGCGCTCCAAAGGATGAAGTTCCGCATCAACAATCGGAAACACAGCGTATGGTACCGGTCTTTTGGGTCGGAATACGGGTTTGGCACCGTCTTTGACAGTAAGACTTGCTTTGGTCTTTGTGCATCTTCCCGACTTGTTGCGAAACACAGACGAGAATTTCCTTCGTAGCTGCTCGATCAGGTTGTTGTTTGGTTCGTCACCTTCTGAAGAGGGCCTCGTATATCCGAGCCGGACGGTATTACAGACTTGACACAGGGGAATGTCGAACAGGTGGAGCTTCTGGATCCAGTCGAGTCCAAGCAGGTTCAAATGTGACAGCCCCGTAATGTACACGACACCAACGCCAAAAACCATTTCACACCGCAGCTCACCAATGAGATTAAATTGACCTCGTGAAGCGGTAAGTGCAACATGTGTCGTTCGGCTGATTGACGGAGCACCAATATACTGCCAAGTTTTACTGGAGATAATTGTGATGTCCGGGGCTGTATCTAGCTGAATACACACTTGTTGCCGGTTCAGGTGAACTCTGATGGACTTTATGCGAGCCACATGTTCATCAGAGTAGGCCGCTTGAACCGTACTATAGCTGATGAATCTTTTAGGAACATTTGGATTCGGTCGCTTATGTCTAGCACGCTTGAACTGCAGTCTGGATCGGCAGTGCGTTTCCTTATGTCCCCCTTTATGACACTTGTGGAATGGACACACTCGAACAAAATGTCACTCACCACATCTCCAATCGGCAGCCGGGGACTTGGGATTCTGTCTGGGCTTTTCATGGCGTGTTTCACTTGGAAGCGATTTCTTTGAGGCGGTTTTTAATACACTAAGACTTGGGGTTGATTGTTGCTTCTCCAGCATAAGCATGTCATGCTTGAAGTTCAGCAATCGTTGACATTCGGTAGTTATGGTCTGTAGAGTCATTTACTGGTCTTGTTCAAGTTTACTCAGCAACCTGGTGCGAATCTCTGCATTCCGCGGGGAATGTAGGCCACAGATAAAAATCAGGCACTTGAACTGCTCTGTCGTGATGGATTTGATGTCGAATTTTTCGCACTCGCGATTGACGATGCCAGCTAAGTGACGCAATCATCAGCTTCCATCTTGGTGATCTTCGGGCATTGATATCGCTTGTAGAAGATGGATGACTGCTCTCCAAATATTTGGCCAAAGCATTTGACTGTCTCCTCAAGAGTGCAGTCTCGAGCGTTCTTAGGCAAAATAAAGTTGACATACCTGGAGTGCTCTGCTATTCCAAGTTAACAGCAATCGGACTTTCCAATCGTCATCATGGTCTCTAAGTTCAACACGGAACACCATAACACTTGAACCAAGATACAAAGGTGAGGCCAGCATTGGGGTCGTACGAAAATTCGGTAATGCTGTTAGTGATGGCGTCTACCGATGCGGTCGGTTTGACGGTTGTGGACAGTGAACCGGTCTGGATTGAGAGTTGGCGCGTAAGAGTTTCGATCAGCCTGAGTTGGGATGCCTCAAATTGTGCTTGTTACTGCAGCAGAATGGCCTTGAGCTCGACAGCCTATATGGACATCTTGATTAGGGTTCAACCCGTCGCCAGCTGAAGTATTCCTCCCTCACCTGAATAGACGCTTGATTTCCAATCGAAACCCGAAGTCGCTGCCCCCCCCCCTCACAGGACGGAGAGAAGACTGGATCGGACGAGCAGAGCAGCAGGGATGTATTAGTGAATCACACCGTTCATCACAAAGGTGAAGTGGAAACTTTGTGTATGGTATTTAAAG